TCAGAAATTAGGCAACTGACAACCTTAAACATTGAACTACAAAAGTCCGTAATCAACACAACAGAGGCTAGAATGAACTCCATGAAAGAATTAATCGATACAGTAGTCAACGAAGTGGCTGATTTAAAAAGTTTGTGATAATGTTCAAAATTTGTTATGTCTATTGTTATTATAAATGCCAATACAATATTTCTTGATACGTGTAAATATTACTTTGCAGTATTGATAATGAACGGAGAACAGATCGATTTAGAAGGGCGACAAAATCGGGATTGTTATCCTGTGGGATACGTTCGACACACCGATAATGAGGTAAACTTATGTCATCAGTTAAACACAGCACCAAAAATTTTGTACTATTTGAAAAATATTATGGGATAGTAAATAATCTAAATATTACCGTGCAATATGTTGGAAATATTTCGAAATATTTCAATGTTATGTGGAATTTTTTATCAATACTTATGAAATATTTTATAATCTGTCTGAATTACGTTAAAATACATAATATTACATGCTGATATTTCTTAAATATTCTGAGATCGGCACCGTATAAGTTGTCCTTCGTGATATCATAAAATGTCTGAATATTATAGATGCATCTTGGAAATGATATCTGGCTACCCGTACATTTATATGACACTGCGGTTGTTTCGTGCAAAACAGCCTCAAAATTCGTGAAGTATATGGCAATAGCAATTTTTGGAATTAGAACTCTGAAGGACTCGTCAATATCTGGAAAGGTGTCGAATAGAAATATTAAATCAAAACCTAACGAGATACCACGACCTCCTCTCGACAGCAAAAAAATTGGGGCAATAAAAAGTATGTATATGTGTGTGAAGGAGTGTATTCTCTCTAAAATGAATTATTTGTGCTGTTACATGAATTTATTAATAACGTTTTTCAGAAATATTACGTTTCTGGATGTTAAGTATCAACAAAACTGAAGAAGAATGTGATCTGCAGGAGATTCGAGTGTCAAAATATATCGCCAGTAAAATTTACGATCTTCGTATAGATCAAACAGAAAAGAAACAGCATAAAAAACGATCACACAAAGGCAAAGGGCCGTTGAATTCCTCATTACCCAAGCAGGGGATCTCTGCACATAACGAACCACCAGAAACCCCGGAAGCAGCGCATGAACGCCAAGAAGAAGCAGGCGGTTTTCAATACGATGATGAAGAGCTTCATAAGGCCGACTCTGACATTTCTCAACATTTAGATACGTCAGAAGAAGAGGAGGCAAAAAAATCCAATAGTAGTTTTGAGGACTTCCCTATGTAGAGGTCTAATATAGCTGAGTCTAAAATATGGATTTGTATTAATTAAGTTGTTTAAGATAGAAATCAATGTAACACGTAATTTTCATTTCTGTAAGCATTAATTGCCCATTTGTTTCTAAGATTAGTTTACCTTGCATGCGAAGAAAACATGTATGTTTTAGTTTTTGGACTGCAATTTAAATAAATTATTTCTACCTCAATTTGTTGTTGAATACGTGCGTGATTAAGTCAATTTACTGTTACATATACCGCATCAGTATTCAAACAGATACAGTGCTAGTTCACTGAATAACAGGTTCGGACGCGATAGAATACTAGCATGAATGAATCAGGATTTTCGGATTCAACATGATAGAAGTCGTCAGACAATCAGTATTCAACGAGATACTGGGCTACTTCCTCGAAAAAACGAGTTAGGACACGAAGGGATACTTGCATACATGAAACAGAATTTTCTTTTTATCATAATATGGGAGATATCATAATCAATATTCAACCAGATACAATGCTACTTTATTGAGAAAGCTGCTTAGAACAGGATAGAATACTTACATAATTGAATCTGGATTTTCTGATTCAACATGATAGGCGTAGTCGGATAAAAGATTCTGTATATCCGATTTTTACGATCAGATATGACACTTTTGAATCAAATGATAAATCCTATTCAATATGATAAATACTGATATAAACAACTTTTTATTAATATACATCTGGATAGGAAGGAGTAAGTAAATATCGTATTAAAACAGACAGTTTTGAGAATCACGAATCTTGACATTGGGATATAAATTGATATTCAGACAACGTGAATTGCGATATTCAACCTGATACGAAATATGCAACTAAAATTCCGGATTCATTTTTATTAACTACGAATACCTTTTACTATATACTGTGATAAAAGTTGTGTATCTGGATTTCACGATGGTGGATATGAAAAACTGGAACCAAATCCCCTATTCAACTTGATAGAAAGTTTTTCTATCAGTTTCTATCTATTTT